CCTGTGTAAGATCATTATAAACCCTGACAAGAGTCAGGCAATACTATTCACCCGAAGGATGGTACACTCGGAAGGAAACGTCACCTTCAACGGACAAGAGATTCTGTGGACCAACGAAGCTAGATACCTGAGAGTCAACTTAGATAAAAGATTAACGTTCAGGTCTTACATACGGCACATACGGCCCGACAAAACCTATTACCAATAATAGGTCGAAGAACTTGGGATTGAAAGTGAAGCTGCTGATGATAAAGACCGTAATATTACCAATAATCTTATATGCCTGCACTGCCTGGGGCCAGTGCGCAGCGACATACAGAAGACAAATCCAGTCGTTTATGAACGCGTGCGTTAGGGCCTCCGTAAACGCTCCAAGATATGTACCGAATAGGTACATATTCCGGGATCTAGACCTGAACATACATTACGTAGACGCATGTATGAGACAACACGCAGAAGACACGTTTGACAGAATTCGAGCGCACGACAATCTAGCGCTAAGCGATCTACACAATGCGCTAAACAGGGATGACCCCAGATTCCGAGAGAGGGACAAACACAAGAGGTCAACGAATCAGAACCAGAGACCACCCCGATAGTCGCTATCAGGCGGCTGCGGTAAGTATAAAAATTTCTTAACCAGATTTCAAATTCACTTAATTTTCAGATTCACTGGGAAACAACACTTGCTCGCGACATAAAGACAATCGTCTCCGGTTAGTTTTTGGGGACCCCATGCAAAAATTCAGTTAGAAAAGCCACGATAAAAGTAAACATCAGATTGGAAAGTAAAAGCACCTAAAGGCTGACTTTCGACTAAAAGAGGTCAGATGTCAATCTTGCTGAAGTGCCCATCAGTAAGTTGAGGACGGCTCCGGAGGAGCGGAGGTGGATGGACGAGATTGGATGTTCTGCACACAATAACCGTGTGGAGAAGATTTCAACTCAGGGCACTCTACCCGCGAGGGGGCATGGGGGGGGGCTAGAGCGGCACGGAACATCTTATATTCGCGCACTCTTAGCTACGTCACGATTGGTTTATGGCTACCAGTGGCGGCCGGCGTTATTTTCTTTAGGGCATGATTTACAACAGTAGTAAGGCCCAGACCCTCCTAGCTCCTTTCCCACTTCTCAATGAAATAGCTTTCAATGGGCTAAAATTTTCCGTAGGTCACTCAGGTATATAAATTATTTCAAAACAGCAATAAATACGCATCTACAAATATTATTTAAAGAAGATTCTACAACCTTCTCAAAATATTGTAGATGTCTTATTAAATATTAACTTTATTGACTTATTTGTTCTTCCTTACGAATCAGTAGAGAGTTGTCCTGAAAATCTAGAGAAGAAAATTGGATTGGATAATTTAGCAAACACTTGCTACATGAATAGCATTTTACAAGTGTTGTTCATGACGAAGAATTTCAAGAACGACGTTTGTATGATGAACGAGAACGGGAATATTTCCTACTTATTCATCAAACTCAAACACTTGTTCATGCAGCTGCAGTTTCGTAAGAATGTATCATCTTTCCCTCCAACNCTCCCACTTTTCGAACTCATATCTCCCGTAATTTATTTTTCTTTTCATTTTTATCATATTCCCGTCCTTTTTTATTGGGTTTCATCCTACTATTTTTTTTCACTACCATTTTTGAAGGCTTCAGCCCTGGTCTATATGCCACTGTATGTTTCGATGAACCTGTATGAATTGAATATTGTGTTATTTTTGTTTTTGACTATTCGAATTGTTTAAGAACTTACTTCACTTTTAATAGTGGACTGACAACCCTGTAATTTTGATTAATATCATCAGCAATTATATGCATATGTAATGCTCAGAGATAATCAAGGCATGTTTGAATGTAATAAGAAGTTACTCATCCCATTCAAAATATTTTATAAAACATAATGGAATGTATGTTGCAGCAATACATATTGTTGATATTGGCATTCTGCTACTTTTTCTTCATCTGCCACTTTTTCTTCATTGGTATATGAGCGACCAAGTTTATCAATTTTCAAACCTAATTTGTTCTGTAATGAACAGCTCAACTAATGATTCGATAAATATATGATAACAAACGAAGGGGCCGTATATGTAACCAAATGGAGATTATTATTGGTACAAGTCAAAGTTAGAAAAAGATGGCGAGCAGAAAATCCTGCGTTGGTTTAGTGGTTATCCTGATCGGCTGGTGATAGTTTTCTGTTCTTGTCAGCTTCATAAATTTCATGCATGCGTGCGTGGCTAGTAATATGATATGGATCACATTAAAGTGTAGAAACATAAGGGTTTCACAATGTAAGAAGTGATAAACAATATTATCATACTCAAAAAACTATAGGACGGCGAAAAAGCGAAACGGCCAGGACAAATACACCAATCCAACTGCTTCAAAATCTTCCTTGTTAGGTTATCGGTATTAACGCAACAAAAAAACTCGCAACAACTAGAGATATTTCGAGGTCCGGGTTTATTCATTTTTTAATTATATTACTGCAACTGAACATTTCTATTACAGTAAAAGTAAAAGTTTGGTGTTTGAATCAGCCATATAGGAATTTCAATAAAAATAAAATTGAAATCAGTCCTTACCTCAGTACTGTATGGAAAAAATGATATTGAATATTATGTCAGACATTTACCGTGTTTTTGACTTTGGTCTGCAGGTTTTATGCCTGACGTTTCATCTACTACTGCGATAGACATTATCAAAGTGCTTTAATTCCACTGCAATGTTGGAATTTGTCTCAGGTTTAATATCATCATTGGTGGACGTGACTTGGTTTCTCTTAATTGGATATAATGAACTTGTATGTTTCGTTGCCTCTTTCTATTGAAATTATCCTTGTATTTCTGAAGTTCTATTGCCTTTCTACATATTATTGGGTAGTAATTTTGAGTTTTATGTATTATTTGTGTATATTTGAATGAAATAATGTTATCCATGATAATAAATACACAATTTTCACAAACATTGTATAATCATTATCATGGATAGTGTTATTCATTTTCATCAAGTCCATTCATAAGGAGATTATGTGATTGTCTTCTTTGAAAGCATGTTCGGCTACAGCTGATTTGTCAGTTTGCCCGAGACCGCAATTTCTCTTGTGTTCAGAGAGACGGTTACCTTATTTCTTTTCGTGGTTCCATTGTAGACCGGCCCGTGGCTACAAGAGATGCGGTATACCCAGGGTTTTACTGAAGGCTCCCTGCGGCCCTTGGCTTACCTTAGACTTTCTAATAGTTTTCGTTGGAATTGGTTTCACTTCGTGTTTCTCTGTAATATTCCCAATCCAGTCTAACAGGCCTAGCTGGCCTGTACGCATTTCCTTTGAAGACATTTTTTAGGTGAATGTGTTCCTCAAGGAGACTTTCAGGTTCACAGATGCGTTCAACCACAGTTTCAATCAATCCTCTTTTTTATCGTAGCTGGTCGTTACAGTTTTTATTCAGGTACCTGATTGTGTGTGTTGGTTTCCTGTATAATCTCTGGACTAATGTCCCATCTTCACGTTTGGTCACAAGAAAATTCACGAAGGCTATAGGCCATTGGGTTTCTCCTTCTATTGTGAATTGGATTATGGGTTGAGAGAGTAGAGATATAATAGAAAATCGTTTAGTGTCTCTTCACCAACTTGCCATACCACGAACGTATCATTAACGTAACGTAGTCAACGATATAGTTTCACGGCCACTTGTTCTAAGACCCGTTGTTTGAAATTTTCCGTGAAAAAGTTTACCACCGTACATGACGGATTGCCCATTGCGGTACCATCAGTTTGTTCGTAAAAAACAGCTGTAGCTGAACATGTTCTCAATGAAGACACTCACATTATCTCTTTCGAAGATACACAAATACTCGAAAAAACTCAAAATTACTATCCAAGGATATGTAGAGAGGCAATAGAAATTCAGAAACACAGGGGTAATTTCAATAGAAAGAAAAAGGCATTGAACATTAGTAAAATCTGGCTACCTGTCTTTAATTATACACAAACAAGGTCATTCAATCCAATTCAGAGAAACGAAGCCACGCCCACCATCGATGATATAAAACCGGAGACAAATTCCAACATTGTAGTAGATCGCACAACAACCCAGCGCTACGCGATCTACACGATGCGTTGAACATGGATGACCCCAGGTTCCGAGAAAGAGACAAACATCCAAGGCCGACCAAGCAGATTCAACGACCGCCCCCACGAGTCGCCTTCAGGCGACTCCGGTAAGCATACTAATCAGATTTTCTTTCAGTAAGTTCACCGCAGAACAACTCGACCGCAATCCAATTATCCTTAGATTCACTGAGGAACGCCCGACGTTAATAACAATAGCCGTCGGTTAGTTTTTGGGGGCCCCCATGCAAAAATTCAGTTATGTTCGGACAAAACATTTTTTACCGATCGCGAAAGAATAGCACCTAAAGGCTGACTTTCGACCAAAAGAGGTCAGATGTCAATCTTGCTGAAGTGCCCATCAGTAAGTTGAGGACCGCTCGGAGAGCGGGGGTGGATGGAGTGGGGTAGTAGATTCTCCTCGCTAAATAGCTGGGGGGGGGAAGCTTCTACTTCAGGGCACTCAACCCGGGAAGGGGCATGGGAACCGTTACCTTATCGCTTTTGATAATGTCTACCGCAATAGTGGACGAAATTTCTGGCATAAAAATCTTCAGACCACGGCCAAAAAAACCCGAAAAATAACTTCGACACGATTATCTCCAGCCATGAAAGTTGTTACTTTTTCATCAATATCTAATATTGTAAAGTGGAATATTGCCAACATCAGCCAGTTAACTAGACTGTAGCTAGATTTAGTCATTTCTTTAGAAAACTGTTATTTCAGGCAATTTCAATTATTAAAAAAACTTCAGATTTAGGCATAATTTTACATTGAGTGTATTTGTAAGTGTATCTATATCTAATGAAGTACCTAAAGGTTAATCTTATATACGCATTTTTACTGGTTTTGAGAAAAAAAAGGCTCTTTCAGGTTTGTCCTTTATGTGCTGCCATGCCTGGTGGGGATCCAAATTTAATGACTGATGACTTTGCTGGTCATTTAACTCTTGAACATCGTTCGGGTCCAAGAGATCTGATATCATTCTTGGATGAACCGGTAGGAACTAGACACACTGTTAGAAGAATACCACATAATACAAGTCATTCCACAACTCATGTGGGTAGAGGTGGTACTGCTCTAAGGCCTAGAAGGAGTAACATGCATTTTAGGTAAGCATTGGAACCGAAGATTACTGCGGTGATGGTGAATTCTATTAACATATCTGCTAGTTAAAAGAATGAATGTTTGGTTAGCTTTGATTTTAATGCATTATATTTTCACTCTATACATGGATATTCAGTTTGATATGGTTGAACTAACAGTGATTGTAAATATGCTATAAATAAAAGCCTTATACAAATATTTTTTTATTATTTATTTTTTTGTTCATTTCTCCGGAAAACACTACAGCAACATGGCTTATAGCTTTCATTTGCATCATTTCATGAAATCTATTTTAATAATATTGTTACTTGCATTAGTCATTTATTGGATGTTTTTTATGTACTAGATTTAGTTTTGGTTGTTCATAAATTGCTTTCTACTGGTTTTCCAATATTTCACATTTGCATTTGAAAGGACAAGCTTTCCATTACCTCCATTATACAGGTCAATTTTATTCACGTGTTCTCTAAATGGACTGTCAATTCCTGTTCTGTTGAAGCAGTTCTTCAGTTTTATTTTCTCATGAGGTACTAGTCCGGGAGGTAGCGTTATAGTTGAGCGAGTCATTTTATACCAGGTGAAAATCGTAACAATAATAGTTTTTCCCTAACACATAACAGTTCCGAACGTCAGCTGCTCCGATAGCGGTGAAGCTAAAAGAGACAGCATGGAAAAGTCATTGGAAAAAATCTGCCCCGATGATTTTTATACCGAGCACAAAAGTATTGAATTATTGTTTCGATCACATAAAAAAAATTATGGTCAGCTGTATTGACGATGGGGTTATATGTCGGTCAGGTGCATGAAACTCTTTGAAAATTTGACAAATATCTTTATTTTATACCTAATGAAATTCATACATGTCAATTTTTATACATGAAGAAAATCGTTATTTGTATTTTTGACGGGAGAAACACCGTCAGTCAGGGTGATGAACATTTTGGACGCTCATTGCATTTGAGCTTTGCATAGTCTTTTTAGAAAATGAGCTGACGATCTTAAGAAACACAAACATTGATGACGATTGTTCGTTTTTTTAACATTCAAATTATCTTATACTTCGAGTTCATTAAGTATTATATTAATTCATTATAAATAATACCCCATTATATTCATTAATTTTGTGTCAGTTTCCAATTATATTAATCTTGTAACGAATCTGAAGCCGCCCCTGACCGATATGCCGGCCAGCGAACAAACACATGATATCACCGCAAAAGGAATGCAGTCGGCAACCGCCGGTAAAAATCTAGTTGAGTATCGAATCTACTACAGATTTCTAGAAAGAACCGTTACCTATACAAGCCCGGCTTCCCAACCCAAGAGAGAGTTCAGAAAGTGAATCGAGTGGTTAAAGAAGGAATTAAAATAGTGGAAATAAATTAGGCATTAGTTGCTAAGTGTTGCAAATAAATTAGTTTGTGATTAGTGAAATATTATTGGAAATGAATTTGTTTAAGACCCTTAATTCTTGAATTTGTCACAATATGTACTATAATATTAATGAATTTGAAGCAGTGAAAGAACCTTCTCCAACATACCTTTCCTAAAACTTAATAGATCCTAATGAATAAAAGAGAAACACTACCCTCTGCTGTGGAGATTTTGAATAATTTATTTAGTTTCTGTTGTGCTGTTCCCTGTCAAAACGTTTAGTCTACGAAAACGAAACCATTTTGTGTATTTTGTTCGAAAAGAAATGAACCGCTTCATTCGTTCACTCCCAGTTGTTTAGATAAGCATAAAACTATTCTAGATATATGAAAAAATAATAATTTATCGATGAAGAATGCTAAAGTGTCAGTGAATGTAAATGATGAACAAAATATCGGTCAATGATAGTTGTGAGGAAAGTGATGGATATGACATAGACACGGCAAAAGATGTATATGAAAAAGTAGAATTATAATTTATGTATCAATAGAACATATAAATTTTCAAGTAGCTTCATGCACGTTACTGAAATATAACCCCCCCCTCCACATCAATGCAGCTGATGATTATTTTTTTGAAAAATGAGATTGAAACAAATTGATACTTTTTTGCTTGGTATAAAAATAATCGGAGCAGATTTTTTCCAGTGACTTTTTCATGCTGTCTCCTTTAGCTCCACACCACTAGTGTGATAACTGACGTTCAATTTACTGATTTCTGAACATTAAACAACAACTGTTTAAAATAAAAGTCATTTGGTAGAAAATGCCTAGATAAATTGCAACGCCACCTCTCATACTATACCTTTATATCCTCTGAATGTTCCTAGGTGTATAACTGTATCTTTCTTTTTGATCCATTTCCTGACCTGGTTCCATGCCAATCATTTTGGTACAGCTAATTTACATTCCATTTATGGAATTAATAATTCGTATTTGGCACAATCATTCACTCTTAGTGGGATTGAAAATATTTATGTATTGTTTAGAATAATCTCGTTTTTCCATTATCATATTCTGTGAGAAGGAATTCTGTGAAACGGTACAATAAATAATTTGAAGGAGTTGTTCTAGTCACTACCTGAAGCTGATACATTCCTACATATCATTATTGACCAATTTGGAGGAGGTAGTTTCTTTGAATCAATATGTTATGTGAAAGAAAATATGAAAATGCATAAGCCATGCAATGTAGTGAAGACTAAAAATTTTTGAAGTACACAGCATCATATGTCTTGCATTGCCAATTTGCACGAGCTCCTTACAACATTTAAGCACCGCCAGGCAATACACTTCTTCCGTTCCGTAATTAATATTTCAATCTAGCTGAGCTTAATCATCGCCCACTGTAAAGTCAATCATGTCATCGTATATAAGTGATGTTTTCTTTTATTCGTTCATTATATGAATCTTTCATTCTATTGAAAACACTATTTCTTCATCAGAACTCACCGAACTTGGTTAACGAAACGTGCGTAGAGACAGCAATAGATTCAGTAGAACCAGAGGTTCTTAATTCCACTCATCAAGTTTTTCATTGATTTTTTATGGTAATTGTAATTTTAACACATCTTTTCGAAGATGTATTTTGAGAACAAATCCGTTTGAAGCTCTTGAAATGGAAAGTAAAATGTTTACAGTTTTTTATAATATACACTAAAAATTTCGGGTATTTTCAAATTATATTTTTATCCTATCTCCTATAATGTCATTATTATGAACAGGAACAAATAAATATTATTATTAATCCCAAGATCTCGAATAGATGAATCTGATTTAAGTCATAATGATATGTCCTTTGTTATATCTTCTTGAACTTATTGAATATCATTTTTCAATCATTAAAAACAGCCTGTTTTCTGAATATCAAACAAGCCCTGAATTTATACGAGCATTATTTGTTCTTTCAGTTTACTGGCGTGAGAACTTTCAAATCATTTGCAAATAAAAATAATCTTAATGTTTAAGATACTCCATATTATTTGAAAATAAGTCAAAGAAGAGATGTGAGCATTGAAGTTTTTAAGGATACCTTCATATATATTCAGTGAGCATACTTAAAGATTGACTGTAAATCGAATTAACTAAAAGAACAATTCGTTCAGGCCAGTCTCGACTTACCTACACTGTAGGTTAATAGACTGACATCTAACAGAAAATAACACTACCCTGGCCAATACCACGAAGGGCGTTGGATTATATCCAACAGGTGTCAGTGCAGGAATCTTCACAGAAGTATTTCCTGCATATGCTATATATGCTGTTGGTTAGTACCTTGTTTACCAGATGGAGCGATGAGAAATTTGTTATTTGTTGTTTACTTCAGATTGGTCAGAGGAATGATACTCTGAAAGGAAATCGATTTTTAATAATGGAATATCCTCAACTTTAGGTTGATGATGACCACTACCTTGCACTGACGAGAGGCCAATATACTGTACATGATTTGAGGTACTTTACTAAGATAATGAGTATGGAAGAAACTCAGAATTTCACATTCAATCCTGGAGAACTATCGGTTTGTAATGGTACACCAGTAATCGCGTTAGAGAGTTTTGCTTACTTATGAAATTCGATGATTTTATTAATTTTGTTGTTAGAAATAAAACATTCTGTAAGTTTCAATAATCATTATTCATAAAAAAACATACAGCTAGAAGTAGTCTATATAACAAAAAATAATAACTACATACTACATTTTTTTATGTTAATATGGCAATATGTACTATGTTATCATAAAATAGTAAAGTAAAGTTAAGTAAAATTATCACGTCTTAAACTACAAAACTGCTATAAATCCTCTTGTGAGCAATCGTGAGCAAAATACACATACAACGAAACCTCCACGTGAATGAGGAGCCTCTGGAACATACTTTTTATTTGATATTGTTAAATATTAAAGATTTTCATGACAAAAATGTTATTAAAATGGAAATTGAGAAAATTTATGAATTCTTATCAGTGCGTTGCATACCGAGGACGGAAAATTCTGCTCTTCCCCTCAGAAAATAGAAAGTATTTAGATTTTTGTGTAACTTAAAAATTATTTGAAAAAGGATGAGCTTTATTTTAATGCAGACCTGGGTTTGAGAAATACAAAAGCAATAAATATCTGTTCTTGTTTCATTTATTGCACCCATTAGGCTGTATTTCATATGATGCACATGAATTTTTCATTTAATATAAGGACTCTTCATATCTATCCCCTCCCAGTAGCACATCCTGAATACGTCACTGAGCGGGAGAAACCTCTTTTTCCTTTCATCTTATAGTTGTGTTTGTCCGTATCTTTATTTGCATGGGTAAGGGTATTTTTGAGGTGTGTGCTGTTTTTGCACGAATGTTAATATATTTTCTTTGATTTATGAGAAAGCATTGTTCAAACTAGTGTGTCTCACTTCGACCCCATGGCCGTCCTGTACCTTTTTTCATTATAAAGAGTTTTCAAAAACAATTTCACTGGGATCAAAAATGAACACGATTTTCAAAAAAAAACAGGCATTTGTTATTGAGAAAATCCATTTTGGAAGCTACAAATTTGGTCCACCTTTTTTGTTATTCACAAAACCAGTTTCCCTAAGAAGCTTATCTGCAGATTCTGTCATGTTAGTTTAGTTCACAAGTTAAAAATCGGGTACATTAAATAGATACATACATTAGATAGATTTATTTGACTGTTTTACAATAAGTTTACATCATGTCATACATAGAAGATAGTCATAGAGAGACGTGTAATATTGAACTAATAAAAACTATTCATTACTTTTAGATTTAAAAGGACATTACAATATAACATAACGTACACAAAATATGTTCACAAATATGAATATACATGTGAATGATTATTGCTTAATATATTATTAATCCATAGATTCTTATACTATAACAATTTTCAATTGAAGGTGATTCATTAGCAACGTCGCACTTGAAGTGACCGACGGATAATCCTCTAACCAACTCTGCAGAGGCGTACCAAAATAATATTTTTATTTATTTATACACATAGGTAATTACGTAAAAATTGTTATAGTAGGTGGCGCTCCCTGGTGTCAATGGTAAAACTGATTACATTTTCTTATTATGCCTAATACAGTACTTC